CAATTCTGTGAGTCCATGGCCCACCATGAGAGGGAGATGCCAACCCCTCTGAGCAGTAAACTCTTTACAGAGATGTCCTCGCGGAGAATGAGCAAAATATACAAGATAAACTCTTTTTTTTTCCAGTCAGATGGTAATTTGGGGCAGTTTGGCTCGGCTTTAGGATTCATCATCCAGCCCTGGTTGAGTAGCTCAGTTAGAGTGTTGTCCTGATGCATCAGGTTATGGGTTTAAACCCTGGTCAGGGCACATACAAGAATCAACCAATGAATGCATAGATAAGTGAAAGAACAAATCAATGTTTCTCTCTCTCTTTCTCTCTCTTTCTCTCTCAAATCAGTCAATAAATAAAAAATTTAAGTACATTCAGGAATATACATTTTTTAAAAAGAAGACTCATCACCCACCATGTGAACAGCCATTCTAATTATTAAGAACAATTATTATTAAGAACAATCGACTGAACCAAACTCCCTCGCAAAGTAACTGATCAGGCAAAAGTAGATGCAGGCAGTGACTCGGCTATATTATTTCCTGGATTAACCTCCGAGAAGCAGAGAGGAAGATAACAGGGCATGGAATCCTAGTTTAACCAATCTGCAAAATGCAGCCAACAGAATCTGTTTCTTAGGGCCCTGTGTGTGCTACATGCTGTTGGGTTGACTCCTGGGTACCCCGTGAATGGGTTACATTCACGGTGTCCTAGCCCTGCTCAGCTCCTATAGACTCAGCCTGTGGCTTCTTTCATGAGTCAACCCATCTCCTATTTGGCTCCTGTGTCCTGCCGCCTTCTGTTTTTCCAACATTATTGTCTTTTCCAAAGAACCGGCCTCCTTCCAATGTGTCCAAAGTAGGATAGCTTTAGTTTTGTCATTTTTGCCTCCAGCGACGTTTCAGCCTTAATTCTCTCTAGGACCCTCCAGTCCATCTTTCTCTTGGCCCAGGGTCTCTGTGGAGCACACTGCCAGCATCACATTTCAAATGAATCCATTTCTTCCTAGCAGTCTTCTTCACGGTCCAGCTTTGGCATCCACACAGGGTCATTGGAATGCGGCGTGCCGATGGTCTTAGCCTCGGTCTCTAATGACACATCTTTGCTCTTGGTGATCTTTCCTAAAAAATTCTCGCATTGCTGCCGAGGGTCCATGTGCACATTAAATAACAGCGGATTCATGAGAGGCCCACTTCAGGGCAGGTCCTCAGAAGGCAGCTGAAGCTGCTCTCACTTTCCTTGGACTCAGCTGCTTCACCTCAAAAGCAAGGCCACGTGTGTGACTGGAGCTCCTCCCCGCCATTTCCACACCTCCCTCCAGCTCCCGCTGCCACGTCTGTCCCAAAGGTTAGAAAGTCCAAGGCCGTGAGAGGCAGACTGCCTCTCCCTGCATCTCCCTCCTTCACCCCACACTGCTCATTGGTAAGCCGAGTGGGGCCTCCAGCAACCAGCAACCCTCCGCTCCTCCCAGCCCCCTCTCTGGGGGCTGTATGGTCCCTGTGGGCAAGCTGCCTGGGGGAGCTGAGAAACGGACCCTGGAGCCTGCGGGATGCCCCTCGTCTTTCCCAGAGGGCTCTCCCCGGGTGGTTACCCAGTCTCCTAGAAAAGAATGCTTCACTTCTTTTGAAATCGTCCACTCCAGTCGATGTTTGTAAGCCTAAATACAGAACAGGAAATTCAGTTACAGAGTATTTCTTCAACTGGGGGCTAGCCTTCTGGTACGTGAGATCCCATTCCAATTCTGTGTGTTCCCCTTTTCACTCTTCTCTCCTTTTGCCTAGACGAGGAAGCCCTGCATGCAGCTCACACTCACACACACCCACACACATGCACTCACTCACTCTGCCAGCTCCGCCTCCGAAGTCCCCCCAGGAAAGGCCATCCCTCCCTGGTGCCTCCTCCCTCCGCTTGTTTGCTCTGTTCTCTGGGAGCCTCCTGGTGCTGCAGGTGCTGGTGCCGAGGGTGCTGGCCCCCTGCCAGGTGCTGGTTCCCTTAGGCTTGTGTGGGCAGTGGGCTCAGCCACTCCAGGGACTTTGTGGTGAGCCTGGCCTGGGCAGGACTCCAGGATGCCAACAGCAGGGTGATGGGGAAGATGCCTCTCCTGGCTTCTGAGGGCATTGCCTCGGGGAGGAGAGGACCCAGGCCTTATGCTGTGGCCAGCTGAGTGTGTCCCAGCCCCAATAACCAAGCATTCTGAGGATTCAAGCTGGAGAAAGCTCTGCCAGGATAGCCGGGGAAGGCCTGTGGCATCAGCACTCAAACCCATTTATCCCCACCAGTGTAAAAAAAAAAAAAAAAAAAAGCTCTCGTACTTCCCAAGCTTACACCATTAGGTCCCACTGCACACATTTATTTTAGGGATGAAAGCTCGCTGGCTCCCCTGTAATGCACCAGGCATGGAATTTTCCTCATCCTGTCTGGCACCATCCCTAACACTGGAAATTCTAAATCCTGACACATCTCTTCCCTTGGTTGAGTGTTGCCTCTTCTTCTGGGATTCCTGGTAACAGATATTATACGTTTGCTTTCTCCTCCGCATGTGTGGCCTTTCCGTGATGTCTGTCTCCTATTGACTCCTGTGGAGACCTGGGACAGAGTGCCACCCAAGCCCAGCCTCACCTCCGGACTGGGTCTTATCTCCGGGCCGTATTTGTTCTTTCTAGAAGCTTTGTTACTTATTTAGATCCTCCTCGGGTATTTCATGGCGTCTTTTTTCCTCTATGCTTTTAATTCCTTCTGTCATATCTTTATTTTTTATGATTCTACTAGTAATTTATAAATCTACGAAAGTCGTGTATAGGGAGGGGGAGTGTCCCTCAGCCCAGCCTGCACTGGGACCCCTCGAGGGATGTCCGACTGTGCATTTAGGCCCGATCCTACCCGGCAGCCAGACATCCCTCTCACAATCCAGGACTGCTGGCTCCCAACTGTTCACCTGCCTGCCTTCCTGATTGCCCCTAACGGCTTCTGCCTGCCAGCTTGATCACCCCTTAACCAGCCTGATTGATGCCTAACTGCTCCCCTGAAAGCCTGATTGCCCCCAACTGCCTTACCTTGCAGGCCTGGTCCCTCTCAAATGCGCTCCCCTGCTAGTCATCTTGTGGTGGCCAAATTGTGTCCACGTGGGGGCAGCCATCTTTGACTACATGAGGGCAGCCATCTTTGACCACATGAGGGCAGCCATCTTGTGTGTTGGAGTGACAGTCAATTTGCATATTGCTCTTTTATTAGATGGGATAGAGGCCAGGTGCATGGATGGGTGCTGGCTGGTTTGCCTTGAAGGGTGTCCCAGATCAGGGTGAGGGTTCCCTTGGGGTGTTGGGTGGCCTGGTCAAGGGGTCTGTGATGGTTTGCAGGCCAGCCACACTCCCTGGTGGCCCAAGGGGAGGCCCTGGGATATTGGATTTATGTATCTTCTATAATTGAAACTTTGTAGCCTTGAGCAGAGGCCTGGGCCAGCCAGGGAAGGTGAAAGCTTGGCTTCCTTCATTAGGAAGAAAGCTTGGCTTCCTCTGTGGCTGCAGCCATCTTGGTTGGGTTAATTTGCATTCTCACTCCTGATTGGCTGGTGGGCATGGCTTGTGATTGTAGCTGGGGTAAGGTCAATTTGCATATTACTCTTTTATTAGTTAGATCATCTCAAGTTCCTAGGAGCCTAATCCTATTAGTCATGTGTCTGCTGATACTTGCCTATGTGGGTTGTTGCCTTGAGAGTTGTTGTTTTTTAATTTTGGTTTGTAAATTCATCTTAGTTGTGACTTCATCTGTGGGAATCCTGTGAGGCTTGAATTGAGAGAATGTCCCTCTAGACAGTGGCCCTGTCGACATTATGAGCTGGGTCCCAGCCCTTTGTAGACTGTGGGTTTTAACAGAACTCTGGTTTTTACCCTCTAAACACAAGTCACACCCAGTCATGACTATCTGTATGTGCGTAGGCCTCCCCAAATGGCTCTGGGAACAGCATCACCTGGTTGAGAAGCACTGTTCCAGACCGTGTATGAGTTTGGCTCTAATGCACACAGCAGAGATGTCACCCACCTGAGACTACTTTTTATGGGGGTAATTTCTTAGCTTTTAGTTTCATAGACCAAAATTCCAACCTCAAACCCATTGCGCAGGTAGGAATTAGACACTTACTCTCATAGATATACTCTGGTTCTATTTTACCTAACACCAGGCAGAGGAATCTTACAACCTTTCTATAGCAGTAGATAAAATTTCCCCCTCACATTCTTTCACGGAGGGTGCAGCCCAGCAAGGTCCGAAGCTCCTCCTCCTGTCACAGGGTTGTACAATTTATTGCCTGGCAGAAATGAATGCGTTTGCGAAACCCTTGGCACTTTCATCTGTAATACCTTGTGGGAATTTGAGATGTTTTATTTTCCACTGATTATCCAGATCTTTTAATGATTATTTTGATGAATAGTCCTACCTGCAAAGAGCACACATTTGATTTGGCTACAAAAGAGTCAGCTAGCCTGTTCCACAATTTAGGGCTCCGCGGGGACATGAAAATTGGAGTCAAAGCCGCTTGTACCCAGGCTGGGATGGTAAAGTCTCTTGCAGATTTAAAACTGCCCTCTTTCCGCCTGGACCTGTATTGGATGGTGACCTGTATTGGATTGGATGGTGTCTGGCCCCCATCCAGGTCTCCTAAGGCAGCCTCTGCAGGGTGGGCTTCCTCTGCAGGGCGGATCTCCTGACCTAGTCTGAGACTAGCTAGCCTGGTTAGCTAGCCCGGTTAGCTAGCCTCAGTCTAGGAGATAAATTGAGGCAGGCCACCATTTAACCTGGGTCTGAAGGAAAGGCTGTGGTCCTCTGTGCCACCTGCAGACGGCAGGTATGCAGGAGGGAAGGACCAAGTGGAGGAGAGGGAGTCCTTGGTTCCGCTGGGTCACCAGGCCCAGGTTCTCGTGCCTGGTTAGGTGTCCCCCAACCCTAACGCAAACCCGTTCGTTCGTTCCTTCTGCAGGCCCAGCCTCCTGACCCCAGCGCTGCGCATGGGGCCATGGCCCTGCTCCCCGGGCCCGCGGAGCCCCCTGGCGGCGGCGGCGGGGCCCGCGCGCGGCACGTCATCATCAACGTGGGCGGCTGCCGGGTGCGCCTGGCCTGGGCCGCGCTGGCACGCTGTCCCCTCGCGCGCCTCGAGCGCCTGCGCGCCTGCCGCGGCCACGACGAGCTGCTGCGCGTGTGCGACGACTACGACGTGAGCCGCGACGAGTTCTTCTTCGACCGCAGCCCGTGCGCCTTCCGCGCCATCGTGGCGCTGCTGCGCGCCGGCAAGCTGCGGCTGCTGCGCGGCCCGTGCGCGCTGGCCTTCCGCGACGAGCTGGCCTACTGGGGCATCGACGAGGCGCGGCTGGAGCGCTGCTGCCTGCGCCGCCTGCGCCGCCGCGAGGAGGAGGCGGCCGAGGCGCGCGCGGGGCCGGCGGAGCGCGCCGCGCCGGGGAGTCCCGCCTGCGCCCTGGCCCCCCGCGGGCGGCTGGCCCGCGGCCGCCGGCGCCTGCGCGACGTGGTGGACAACCCGCACTCCGGACTGGCCGGCAAGCTCTTCGCCTGCGTGTCTGTGGCCTTCGTGGCCGTCACGGCGGTCGGCCTCTGCCTGAGCACCATGCCGGACATCCGCGCGGAGGAGGAGCGGGTGAGTGGGGCGGAGTCTGGGCCGGGAGCCGGGCTGGGAGCTGGAGCTGGAGCCGGGCTGGGGTGCTCTGGCAAAGGATGATGGGGCAGCGGGGGCAAGGCCTAGGCCTGGATCTGGGACAGGGAGCGGACCTGGAGGCAGCTGGGTGGAGAAAGTTCTGCAGAGTGACCGAGGTCTAGGAAACTCCTCTGTCGCTGGTGGTTGTACCCACAAGCGCTGGGCCCACCTTGGCCTGCTCGGTAATGTGCCCTGGGCAAGCCCTCCTCCCTGTTGACCGCTCCAGGCACCTCACATAACAAGATCCATAACTAGATCCTATGGTATTTGTCCCGTCGTGACTGGCTTAGTTTGCTCAGCATGAAATCCTCCCGGTTCATCCATGTGGCATGTGTCAGTCTCCTTCCTTCCTAAGACACTTATGTTTCAGTTTTCGAAGTAGCAGTAATGCCGTACAATATGCCGGATGGAAGCCATGTAGATGAGGGTCAGAGAACAGGAGGCCTTAGGCCTGCTTCAAGCAGTGACAGCACTGAGGCCGAGCCGGCCCGTGCAGAGCCCTCTAGGGTGTGCACATGTATCTGGGGGGCTCCCTCCATTCTGGTCTGTCCCCCTGACCTTCCCCATTACCCAAAGCACCGCTTCACACTCCCGGGGTGCTGTCTTACCAGCCCCTGCATCAGATCAAACAGCACTAACCCAGTGCTGGTGAGCACATGTGCGTCCACCACCTTGGGAGGGGACTTGATGGCGCACCTGGGCCACTGCTCCTCGGAGGTGCTGAGTCAGAAGTAAGTGTTGTCACTGCCGTGGGAAGGAAACGTTTTATGTTTCATCCGCGTGTGTATGAGTGTGATAAAACATACACAAAATGTACCTTCTTTACCATACTGAAGCATGCTGTTCCATGGCACTAAGTACACTCAGAGTGGTGTGCAGCTGCCACCACCATCTGTCCCCACGAAACAGCCCCCCAGTGTTCCTCCCCAGCCCCTGGGACCCACCGTCCACTTTCTGTCTCTGTGATGTTGACCGCTCCAGGCACCTCACATAACTAGATCCTAAGGTATTTGTCCCATCGTGACTGGCTTCTTTCGCTCAGCATGAAATCCTCCCTGTCCATCCATGTGGCATGTGGCAGAGTCTCCTTCCTCTCTAAGGCCGGGCAGCATCCCGCTGTGCAAATGGACCACATTGGGCTTAGCCACCTTTCCACCAGTGGACTCTGGGTTGCTTCCTCCTCTTGGCTCTTGTGAAGATGCTGCTGTTAACACGGGTACGGCCAGGGCACAGCCCTTGGGAGGTCTGCGTGTCCATGTTCTGGCATGAGTGGCTGCTGTATGAGGTGCTGCTCCCAGCATGACTGGGAGATGGAGGCAGCATGAAGAACATGAAGTGCTCTGGGACTCGTCTGCCAATCACAGGCAAGCACAGCCAATCACAGGCCACTTCACCAGCACAGAGGGCTCTGGGTGGGACTGAGGGGCTTCTAGGAAGAGCCCCTCCCACACTGAGGGGGCCCGGCCTCCACGGAAGGCTCCAGACCTGGTGCTGAGGACATCCCTCTTAACGCCTGGCTCTGCACAGGCAGGACGAGTTTTGAGGTCTGGGGGAGCTGAGGTGCAGGAGTTGGTGGGCTGGTTCCTATAGAGACTCCAGGGAGAATCCCCTAAGACTCCAGCTTGTCCCCATGCCCCTCCTCCCCCCTCAGAGCCGTCACTCTGGTCCTTCTCCACCACTGCCTCTGACTGAAGGACCTGTGACCGCACTGGGCCCCCTGTAGCCAGGATTCCTGCAGCTCAGGGTCCTTACCTTCATCCCACCTGCACGGCCCTCCTGACACAGGAGGTGACAGCCACGGTCAAGGGGCCAGGACATGGATGTCTTCCTGGCTTATCATCAGAGTTGCCCACAGCTGTGATGATACATAAAGGCTGTTTTGCTGCTTGTCCTCAAGCCCCCGTCTGGGTCAGCAGCCCTGCCCACACGCCCTGTGCTGTGCTCGTGATCTCACACTAAGCAGACGTGAGATGTTTCTTCTTCCGCCCGGAGTCCCCCCTCCTGTGTGGGGGCTCTGAGGACGTGGGAACCTAGAGCGGAGCCTCGGTGCGGTGGCACCAGAGTTGGCCTTTGCGGAGTCTCTGGGAAGAACCGTGGCTTCGCTTGGAAATAAGGTGAAGTGTCTAAGGAGCGAAGACCTGTGATGTGCTGACTATAACGGGAAGGCACGGGAACAGTGCCCAGAAAACTTGTGGAACACTCAATCCCAAATTATCTTTGCGCAAAACATTCGCCATGTGTCACCAACAGCTCCCGGAACTAAGAACGAAACATCTTCAACAAAATTAAATGTGCTTCCTCAGGGCACCCCGAGCCAGAGAGAGGGGAGCAGGCCGCCAACCCGTCCCCACCCCACCCATGTCCCCCAGCTGCATGTATGTGACCCTCAGGGCCGTGGTCTCTACCTGGGACCTGGAGGGCATGTACCCAGGACCCACCTTGCCCCGTCCGAGAAGGTCTTCGCCTCACAGCGCCGGGAGCGGGGCTCCCTCCTCAGCGCCAGGCCTCACCAGGACCATCCATGCCATGTTCATGGCTTCTGGGGAAGGAAAAGCTTGGGGGTTCCCAGACCCAGGCCTCGGGGTAGAAATACCAAAACCCTAAACATCCACTGAACATTCTCCTAGGTCTTCTGACCCAAAAATGTACCCTCTAACAACAAAGCCCTCTCAGCGGGAGCCTCGCTTTGTTCTCAGGAGAAACCGTCACAGCAGTGATACCCGGAGACGTTTCTGCCGCTGCTCCCAGGCGGGAGCCGGCAGACAAGTCGGCATTTTGATGCCACGTGATTGGAGACCTTGGGGTCAGAGCTGGAGGTCGTGTCTGTCACCCTGTCACTGAGCAGACACCAGGCTCAGTGGGAAGGGGCTCCTCCGGGCCCGTGGACAGCGAGGCAGGGCTGACCCAAACCTCCCAGCCCCTGTCACTGTAGAAGCCCCAAGCCAGAGGGGAGACCCCCACTTCCCACTCCTCTGTGGCATCTCCAGTGGGTCTGCAGCCTGCGCTTCTCTGCCTGCCACCCGGCCAGGGCTAATACGCTGTGCTCAGGGCCTGGGCACCCATCACCTTGACAGGGCACCAGGTGAGCATGTGTGTGTGACCAGAGCACCCCGCCTACTGTGGAATAGCCTGAAAGAGTATTGATTCTCCTGAGAATGTGTGTCTGCAGTGAAATTGTTGGCAATGGCACAGTCATTGGGTCTAGCGTTCTCTCCGCAGCCAGGAGAGGTCGAGGCCAGGTGCAGGGGTAGGCGGTTGTGGATGTTATGGTATGACCTAGAGGAGAGCCTTCCAACGGTGGAGGGTGTGGACAGATGCTGGTGTCCTGGTAGACAGCTCGGAGATTCTGCTGAGTGGTGGTGGCTGGGGTGCCGCTGGGAGACCATGCTGAGCTCCCATGCTGAGACCGGGGTCTGGTGGGTGACGGGCGGGCTGTGTGCTCCCGCCTCCGGGAGACCGCCCCTCCACGGCAGGGTCTGAGTGTGGGGCTGTGCTGCTCCGAAGCTTTTCACTGCAGCGGATGTCTGGCTCAGTGAGTCGATGTTCTTCCTTTAAACCCACGTGATTACATCAAGGCCTGCATAATTAGTTATGGATTTCACGACCGGGATTTCAGTGATTGAATTCACTGAGAACATTTGGCGGCAGCCTGGGAAGCTGGTGACAACGTTTCTGCTGCCTGTGGGCACACATCGAGCTTTGCCAGCCTCCTCCGGGGGAGAGCTTTGCTGTCTCGGAGCCGTATCCGGTTCTCAGAAAACGGAACCAACAGGAGAGACGTACACAGGGTGGGCAAAAGAGGGTTTACATTGTGAGTGGGCGAAACAACTCTTGTGTTATTTTTTTATTACGTATTGTATTATTTTACGTACAAACCATTGTAAACCTACTTTTGCCCCTCCCTGTATATTTACATTTTATAAAGTGCTGGCTCGCACCGGGACAGAGGCTGAGAACACCAGAGAAGGTAGCAGGCTGGAGACCCAGAAAGACCCAAAGAAGATGTTCCAGTCCAGCACTCGGGCTAGAGGCCCACATGCCAGGGAGGTCAGCCTTTTGGTTCTGGTCAGTCCTTTGACTGATGGGACGAGGCCCACCCACACCAGCAGGACGACTGGCTTTCTTGGAGCCCAGCAACTCAAACATTTACCTCACTCAGAGGCCCCCTCCCAGACAGGCCCAGAATCAGGTCTGACCAATGTCTGGGCACCCATGGCCCAGTCGAGTTGACACATGAAATTAACCATTGCCCTCGCTATCTCATGGTCCATGTGTCTGGGTGGGAAGTCCTGTTCACCAACACACCCCTCAAGCCCAGGCCCTGAGAGATAACAAATGGCACTTGGGGATCTGTGGGGCACCCTCTGCAGGGCCTCCTGAGAGCAGCGGCATGAAGCCTGTCATCTGCCCTAAACGCAGGCCCGTAAAGCAGGGATGTGGGCTGAGCCCTGGGTGAGCAGGGGCTTCTGCATTAGGAGCCGATTTCTTGGGAAAGAGCAGGCAGAGTGGACTGAATGTTCTGTTGCCCCAGTTTGTACATTGAAACCTAAGTCCCTCCCCGACAGTATCAGGAGGCTGGGCCTTTGGAAGGTGATTGGGTCATGTGGTTGGAGCCCCCTGACTGGGATTGTAAGTCCCATTAAAGAGCCCCAGAGAGCTTGCTCCCCTCCTGCCATGGAAGGACACACAGCAGACAATGTCTATGACCCAGGAAGCAGCCTCACCAGACCCCGAATCTGCGAGCCCTGGGATCTTGGACTTCCGGAACCAAGAGAACTAAGTACAGTGTGTGCTGGGTACGCCGCCTGTCCTGGAGCGCCCTATTGGCCAAGTTCTGCACCAGCAGTCAGCAACATCCAATGGCAATATCAAGCCATGGCCTGACCTTGTTGGGAGCCAGACCTGCCTGGGCTCAGGTCCTTTCTCTTCTGCTGCTGAGAGAG